CACATTTTAAAAAAAAAAATTTAAAAAAGGAGGGAAAAAACGTGTCCACTTACTTTTGGTAAGAGCTAACATTACTATTATAACCACATCAAGCTAAAATCATTAAATACATAACGATTGACTTATACAGACAAAGCTTGAAATGTCACCTCTTTTGTGAAATATTCTAACACTTTTAAGTGCAAGGGAACATAATTAAAAAGTGACCGTTAAGCTAGCTGTTAGCTAGCTGTTAGCTAGGCTGCACCGCTTTTCAAATCTATCATCAAAGTATACAGTTGGTAGCAGGGAAATCAAAAATACACATCAACTTTTGTATTTCAGGGACCGTTTGTGTTTAATATATGTTAATATTTAAGAAACTTACCATAACATCGCAGGATGGCACAGGAAAGGGAAAAAATGCGGTTCTGTCATCTCACAGTCACAGGATTCAAATGACACATGTCCCCGGTCTTACAGCGCATGTGCTGAGAAAGTACGGCAAGCACTTTGGGACAATCAGTGCGTTTTAAATAACTTTACCATTTAAATACAACACAACATGGTAATGTAATCCCAAAACTTTGAACTTTTACATAAATGCAATTAAAGTCTCTTGATTTAATTGTAAAAAGTACGGAGCCCCCCTGGTGACATTGGTGAGAAAAATATTAATACGTGGCCACGTATTAATAATGCGTGGCCACGAATTAGTTATTATGTTCCCACGAATTAGTAATGCGTTGCCACACAATAATTATTGAGCTCTGTAATGAGGAAACTGAGGTGGCTGTCCATGTTGATCTTGCTATGAATGAAGGTAATTATACTTTATATGCCTATATAAACATTTCTGGGATGGACTTATGCTGTGAAATCTATGCTTGCAACAGCTTAATGTGATTTAAGAAGCACCATTGTTCGGTGTTGTTTGGTGGTATTGTAGAGCACACGCTCGTGAACTGTTGCCGGCCGCTGGAGCCTCGCTGCGGGGTGATCTGCGTGTAGGGGAAGCCCTGATTAGATGTTGCCGATGCTTTTTTACTTAAAATAACATAGGCCTACTGTAATAATGAAACGGATAGGCTAAGTCAGCCCATATAGAGGCTGTCAATGCTCAAACAATCATTCTAAATATAAGTCAGATCCGTAGTGACTAAGTTGCAACCAACTTCAAATCATACGAGAAGAAGCATCACTAAAATGTGTGGGAACATAAAGTGTATTTTAGAAACACATGTCCTAACATCCTACTTATTAGGTAGTTCCCCGCCCTGACCCCTGATAGGCAATACACTCCATCAGCTGCCATGTAGCCATACCTGAGGCCTCCCATGTCTTCATCTCAGGGGAAAGCCTAACTAACAACACCGCAGTTTATATTAATAAAATTCCTATATACAACCAAAGGTCAAACATTTAATTTAAAGTCGGGGTTTTGATCTGTTGCCCTAACATAATTGTAACACTGCAAAATTGTACATGCCAAAGTGCAGCGAGGTGTATAACAACAACAAATCTAGGTCTGCCACTGGTTGAAACCACCAATTTAGCTCATTATATTCCTCTGGAATTACTTAGTGATTCATTCATGTTTCTGAAAACCTACTAGCATCAAGCTGTAAGTGAAACTTTCAACTGGTTGTGAACAAATACTAAACTGCGTTACCTTGTGCAGATCCCCTTGAGGCAATATGTGGACAAGTGTTTTTCGTTTTATTTGGGTTTAATGACATTTCTGCCTTTACATGTGCCAAAATAGCCTATATGATGGAGAGACAGGAGGACCCCTTGTTGCAGTTTCTGCAAGATCGTGGAACTGGAGAAGAAATCCTGAACAAACTCAAAAACGACAAGGTATTCTTCAGAAAATATTCATGAATATCATCTGCACAATGAAGAATCTACTTCAGCATATACAGTGAAAGAGTAGTACATTATCATGCCATAGCCTACAGTACATAATATGGTCACTATTAATCCTCCCAAGATAGAGATATTAGTCAACTAACTAGATGTACAGTACCGCATAGCGGTACAGAATATGACTGCTGCTAATGTTTCACACCTGTCACACACACACACACACACACACACACACACACACACACACACACACACACACACACACACACACACACACACACACACACATATATACACAGAAACAGTGCATACATATTTGTGTTTTATTTGGCCTGTAACTTTCTTGAAATAGAAAGCAAAAATGTTGGTTTCTCAATTAGGTATAAATATGTAAATTTGCAAAATAATTTACGTAGTTTGTGACCCATGACAATTTTAATATGATCCTGTTAACATGTTGTTACTTTTGTTTACATTTGCAGATTGATTCGTCAGTAATTGCACTGATGTCTGAAGAAGATCTGGCAAAGTACATCCCACATTACGGAGACAGATTGGCAGCTGTAGCCTTCTGCCGCAACAGTCATTGTGGAGATTCAGTAGCATCTAGACGAGGTCAACTGGAAAGAATAAGGGCAAAGTGTTGTGCTCCAGACAGCAAGACAGTTAAAAGACAGCTGAATTGGGATAAATTAAAAGGAAACAAAAATGCAAAGAGACAGGCAAAGAGATTAGAAATTGGGTGGATGAATTTCAGTGAAGACGACAATGCTTTCAAACAGGTGCGAACTGTAAAAGGCGGTGGGACCCGGCATGTCTGCGTGGACAGGCAGACAAAACTCCGAGAAATCCAAGAAATGGCTGAGTCCCTTTTTTTCCCAAATGGTCTCTGCAAGTCTCTAAAACTGACAGACCATGTCCGCAGGATCCGTGACTTTGCACAAAACGAGATTGACCCAGATTGTACAGTTGAGGATCTGTATGAAAAAAACAAAGTTAAATTACTCAGATTGTACCTTTGCACCAAGAGAGATGTTCAAGAGGCGAACAGCTTTACTGATTCTTCACCAGGAACACCCTCAGACGTCATAAGAAACCCTTCACAGGATGTCAAACAAAGTCAAGTATCAGAACCAGAAGTCATAATCGACTTATCTTCAATGTCGGACGCAGATGTGATAAACCTCTTAATTCCACATGCAGAGCTACTGACGTATGAAGAATCATCAAATGTGGAGTTCATCAGTGACAACAATGAGGAAGGAAGAAGACAAGACCAAGGAACTCTAGAAATGACAACAGAAATATTTAGGATTGAGGAAGAAGAAGACCAAGGTACAGTACAGGAGTATCACATGCTTTGCCTGAAGCCCATGATGCAGCAATGCAGCGCAACACCTACACTGATGATGAAGTAACCGTTGGCCCGTCATTTAGTCATTCTGTTGATCTGGATGATACTTTGCCTTGGGAGGGATCAAAGCCAAAGGTCATTATTGTGGTGCGTAGGGGGAACTGCCTTGCTGACCTCCTAGCAGCCTTTATTGACCCTGATATGATGAACAGAGATGTGCACATTAAAAGGAAGCTTCCTAATGGAGAGCTGGAAGAAGGTGAAGGCTCAGGTGTGCTACGTGACTGCCTAACAGAATTCTGGGGGGAATTCTATAGTAAATGCACATTAGGTACCAATGTTAAGACACCCTACCTTAGGCATGAGTATCAAGTTCAAGAATGGCAAGCCATCGCTAGGATCCTTGTGACTGGCTGGACAAAGGTCAGATATTTCCCACTGCTTCTCTCACTTCCGTTCTTGGAAGAATGTCTGTATGAAACCAATTATAGCAGTGTGACAGAGAGCTTCTTGCAGTATGTCTCGACACAAGAGAGGGAAATTCTTGAGCTGGCTTTAAAATCATTTAACTCTGTTGAGAAAGATGACCTACTGGATGTGTTAGATGCACATGACTGCCACCTGCTTGCCACTGAAGGTAACATTGCTGGACTAGTGTCACAGTTGGGTCACAAGAGCCTAATCCAGACACCAATGTTTGTAATTGACTGTTGGAAGCCAATCTTAAAAACCTTGGCAGATACTTTGTATCCACAGAGGCTTGTTGAAATAGTGGAAGAACGAATCCCAACTCCAAAGCGTGTAAAAGACCTTCTGGAATATCCAAAAGAGATGACAGCCCCTCAAAACACTGTGGCAAGGCATTTGCGGAAGTACATCGGTGAATCTAACAACACCACTCTGAAGGCTTTCCTCCGGTTCTGCACAGGGGCTGATATGCTGTTGGGACACAGCATCACAGTTCAATTTATAGAGACTTCCACATTCCAGTGTCGACCCCAGGCACATACATGTGGGTGCTATCTGATGTTACCAGTCAACTACCAAAACTACCCAGACCTCCGTAATGACTTTGATCTTATTCTAAGAAGCTCAGTCTGGGTAATGGACATCATCTAAGTCACGAGCCTAAGAGCACATGCACACAATGGCTAGGTCGGATGTGCTAATGTGCTTTTAATTTATTTTATATTCATTTTAGTTATATCTTACCCAGTATCTGAAAAAGCTGAGTGACTTTGTTATCTGACAATTGCTATGGACCCACACAACAGACTTGTAACCTTAGTCTTTCCAGTTTTCCACATTGCCATTATTATGTGGGGTCACAAATGGCTTGTTAAAGCATTTTTGAAATGTTATCAGAATTATAGTTGAAACTACTAAATTCACTTTAGTCAAATCAGTCTTAACAATTATCTACCTAATTCACTTAAGGTAAATCAGACTGTCAGATACAATGTTTGATATGTTTTCTGTTACACTTAATATGCATACCAGTATGAAAATTGGTTAGTTAAGGTTTATCTGCATCATCCTTGGTGAGAAATGTTGGTAAGTAGGCATTAGGTTAAGCTTGTTTCTGCTTTATAATGGGCCTACCACTATTCAAATACCAATTCATTTTGATAATGTCAACATGAATAAACAGTTTAAGAATATCATGTTGTTTGTATTTATCTCATGCATTGCAGGCCGACACTATAGTTGCTGGTATACTTTAAACAGAGATTTGTCACATTGTTACCTGCAGCCCAAACCTTAGCAAACATAAATATGAATGAAACCAAAACTTGAACAAAATAATTACCACATTTTATTGTACATGTGCATCCATGAAGCCACTGAAAATACATGGGAAATGTTGTACCACTAAGGTGACATTTAACAGCGGTGTTATATGTTAATTAATTACTAGTTGCTAAAAAATGGAATTAAATACATTGAATAAATACCTAATGTATAGACATGGTTAACCACAAGAGCTTTTGAAAGCTCAATCTCATACACATATGCTGCTGGATAGGCATACATGTTAACTCAATATAGGATAAGATATTGACACTATCATTGATTAATAAAAAATGTACAGTGCTTGTAACTGAGAAAAACGCCAACAGGAACAGTAAGGAAGCACAATTAATAAACAAAAGTGGTAATACTATTCGATTCAATGGTAATGAATTAAGCTGTCATATTTGCGAATTGATCAGGCAACTCAGTTAAAGATGAGGGAGCGAAGAGCCTCACGGATTGTCAAATAAAAATCTTGAGCTTGTGGTATGTTTGTGGGGAAAGTAAGGCCTGACTCTAACATGATCATATTACAGAGGTCAAATACGTCTTCGTCGCAAGGGATGGTTGAAAGGAACTTGCATGTCTGTTTACAGGCACCGAGGTTGCTGTGTGGAACAACACAATCCTCAGAGCCCCACAGCTGTGGCACAGTATACATCACGTCAGGGATGCCACTTGGTACATTGCAATTCTTTGTTGGCCGGATTCTATGGGTATTCCACACTGCCTTGATCTTGTCCAGGTGTTCCTGTTAAAAAAATTAGAAAGGTCAAGAGTTTCAAACAGATATAAATGAGTTTAAGTTTCAATGAGATTATGTTTTTATTGACTAGTGAGCATAGACTGTATATAAAGCTAGTGAGTGATTGCAAAACATTTTAACCGCAATGTGGCCTTCCACAGAGCATACAATGTGTCAAGATAAAGCCCCTTGTACCTGCAGGGTCATGCCTATATTCACATGGTCTTTTGTTCCCAGGGTCCTATGTTCCTAGCTCTATAGCACATAATGGGAACCTGAAACAGATGTTCCCCAGCTCTATGATCACTGAATATGACATACATGGGCTATTATCGTGAAGCCTTCTTTGAAAAGAAAATGATATTCAATATGTTAACCAAACTAATTAACCCAACCAGTTGCCTCACAGCAAACATCTCAGGTGTATTCATTCCGTTTTGTCTGTCTCTGCTTGGATAAGTGACTAGATTTTTGCAGTGACAGTACTTTCCCTCAACTTGAAGATAAAGATAATTAAGCCATTAAGATGCAGACATTTAACTGAGCTACGAACATGTTTATTGTCTGAATTTAAGTCCATATTTTAAACACAGATGCAAACAAATAGGTGGAAGATACTGTCATAGGGCTTTTAAAAAATCCCAGAAGCATCTTTGTGGGGGAAAAAATGTTTTAAAGTGGGGATAGTTCACATATAGGCTAAGCCACAGGATTTCTTCAAACTCACCTGAATAACGTTCCGAAAACTCAGCTGTACAAGAGATTTGTCCAGGAAGTCACCAACAAACAGACCTTCGTCTTTCATTTCGCCCAAGAATTGTATCCAGTACTCCATTCCTTCCTTGCGCAGGATCCCCCACCAACTCTCAATTCTCTGATTTGAAGTACTGGTTCCAGCAATATAGCTCCTATCACCTGATCTGTTGTCATTGTCATGGCGACGGAGGAAGGTTTGGATGTCTCGTACAACCACATTTTCAGTTCCCAGATCTGTCCGGATGATCTGAGGACAACCACCAGTCTGCTCCACAGCCTCTACAAAGTAGCCTCCTATGACATGTGGGTCATTGCTTGTGTATGCCGCTTTCAACCAGATGATTTTTCGGGAAAACCCATCTATGCATCCATTTATGCAAATGCCATAGGGCTTTAATTTGTCATAGGAATCAACGTGCCAAATGTAGTTTGGCCCTTGCGCAAAATACCGTCTGCGGATTAGTCTCCGGGCTCGACGCATAGCTGAGAAGTTTGGATCCAGATTTGCAAGGATTAAACGAACATCTTCCTTTTTTGCATTGATCCCACTTTGCAGGCATTTTGCATGCATCCACCTGTAGCCATGAAGTCTCCCCGGTCCTTCTAGCTCCTGCTTAATGAAGTCGACGACTTGCCCAATGTCCGCATATTGTTTACGTTTCAAACCGTGCATTTTCAGCAGCCGAATCAAGTGCCTTTTGCTAATGATGACACTGTGCTTAACTGCAAGGGATTGCAGAATATCATTATAATTCATACCCAAATGAAAATAAAATGAAATCAAATCAAAATGATCCATGCTTCGCGATAATAGCCGTATAGCCTACGGTACAGAGCTAGTGTTGTCACTCAGTCATCAGTTTCAGACTATCTAGATTTAGTTATTGCGTGGCCACGTAATAATTAATTCGTGGCCACGCATTAATAATGCGTGGGAACATAATAACTAATTCGTGGCCACGCATTATTAACTCGTGGGAACATAATAACTAATTCGTGGCCACGCATTATTAACTCGTGGCCACGCATTATTAATTAGTGGCCACGCATTATTAATACGTGGCCACGTATTAATATTTTTCTCACCAATGTCACCAGGGGGGCTCCGTAAAAAAGTGCATTTACTTAGTAGTTTTAATATAAAAAAAGCAATTAATGCAAACAACATCCATATTTCATTTCTAAGAGTGCTGAAGCTCAGCGCTCATCTTTATACGTTCTGCCTTGGCTCCAAAAACCTGCTTCAAACTGAGCTGAAACTCAGAGAGCTGGTCTCATTAAACACACTCAAAGCAACTTTAAATGACCTTGAATCTGTGTCTGTAAATGCTTTGGCTAAACTTGGTGTATGACTGTGTTGTGATTGTGTGCTTTTTAATTGTCTGTAACTGTAAAACTGTCTGAAACTGTGCTGTTACCATTCTTGGGCCAGGACTCTCTTGAAAAAGAGATGTTTAATCTCAATGAGACCTATCCTGGTTAAATAAAGGTAAAATTAAAATTAAATACATTACAAAACTTCAGAGATTACCAGAGGTGGAGTTATTGGGTTTGAGTCATGGCAGTGTGTGCTGATTAGAAATGATTAATGGAGGCAATTGCTTTATTCAATGGTTACTAACATAAAGACATTCTTAAAATGTTGGGGAAAGAATGTGTCATGCATACATTTCTTACGCAACACACTTTTAATTGACAGCCTGTGCATATCCCTGCCGACCTGGTGGACCAACTGGAGCGACTGGCGCTGGTGGATTTGGTGGACCAAACAGGGACTGGCCTGTTTGGAGAAAGCCATCAGATTTGCAGATCAGCTTCATGCTGTTGACACTTCAGGGGTGGAACCAATGGATTCAGTTCTGGAGGACAGGTAAGGTTCAACCAGTTATGAAAACAAGTATATTTGTATGTTGGCCTCCTCATCCCAGCTATATCAAATGAGCCCCAACTGTAGCACAGTTTTAAACTGAGCCGATTGCATGAATATTGTTATGTCTCATCCATGCTCATTCAGGTCATTAAACCTTAGGGAGGATGCAGTGACGGAAGGGGACTGTGCTGAAGAACTGCTTCAGCTCTCCAAACACACCGTTGAGGAATATTTTGTGGCACCACCAGGTGAGAAAAAAACCTGAATACATGTATTTTTAAGCAATAGAGGGGATTGAATCATTGGTTTTAAAGGTCACCTATTATGCAAAATCCACGTTTTCATGTCTTTTATACATAAACATGTGTCCCCTCTGTGTAAAGAGATTCTTAAAGTTTCAGGAAAAAAGATTCTCTCACTTTTTGTCCTGATCCATATAAAAACCTGTCTGAAAATGAGCTGATCAGATTTTGGCCACTTTGGCTTGTGTAACCATTAGCCAATAACCAACCAAGGTAACCCCCCCCCCCCCACCTTATCACCTGAATCTCCTCCTAGAGCACCATTGTGTTCTTTTTAACCAAATATCTCTCAGAGGGGCGTGGGGAGTGGCTCCTTATTTCTCAAGTAACAGACAGAGAATCAGCACTTTTGAAACAGGGCTGAAACAGAGGGGATTATGGGATGCTACAATGATCTGTTTGGTATTCAGAGACATGTTTTGTATATATCTGAGACCTATAATATATTGATGAAAAAGAGTATAATAGGGGACCTTTAAATAATTAAGAGTATATGGGAATGAAATTGAACAAGCCCTCATTGGTTGCTGATGTACTTCTGCCTCTCTACACTTGCCTGCACTATATGCTCTTCCCATACATTTGTACTACTGGCTCCCACGTCCTGAGCGTGCGCCCGCATGACACAGTGAGCGCTCTGAAAATACTCATCCAGCAGAAACTAGGGTTTTCATGTGAGTCCCAGAAGCTGGTCTTTGAGAACGGCTGCAGCACAACTCTCAACAACGACTCTGCGACCCTCGAGTCCTACGGCCTGCACTCCGGGGCCAGGGTGAACCTGCTGGTGACCACACCAGCCATAATCCAGGTGTTCCTCAAAAACGACAAGGGGGTAAGCAGCACGTATGACATCAAACCGGATGAGACGGTGAGCCACTTCAAGAGCAGGGTGGAGGAGAGAGAGCGGGTCCCGGTGAGCCAGCAGAGTCTCGTCCACGAGGGCAAAGTGATGAACGAGGGGAAACTCTCCGACTACAACGTCCGAGCGCATAGCACCATCTCCCTGAACCTGCGCCTGAGAGGAGGCTGTGGACACTGGAGATTCCTTTATTTCATCTTAAAATGAAGATCATTTAGCTTGTATTTTATTTATTTAAATTTAAATTGCACTCATTAATACATTCCTCGATTAGAAATCATTCCAAAAAGAAAACTTTCTTTGTTTTGGCTTTACAAATATGTTATAAACACATCTTCATGTTATAGTTTTAATTATGAGCAAATTGGTTCCACTGCATGTTTTTAAAGCTCGGATAAGTGCAATGATACTTGATACTGCTGGTACTTGTCAATGTCGCTAGGTATGTAAATGTAGTCCTGTAAATATGATGTCCTTTATTGTTTTCTGTTGTTTTATGTTTCATGTTGTAACATACTTGCTGCCATGTTGGGCAGGTCTCCCTTGAAAAAGAGATCGATGATCTCAATGGGACCACCTGGTTAAATAAAGGTTTGAATGAATGACACTTCAAAATCTGACTACATCAAATGTACACTGTTAAAAAATAATAAAGATTTTAATCTTGCATGTCTGTTCTCATTTCCTGTTCTTTGCTGAATCTTCAGCTCAGGGTTGAGCTGCACTCTGTACAGACCACAACCATACGAAGTAACCAGAAAGGCACACTTTAGCATTGGATTAAAATTGACATTATGATCAAAATCATAATCAATGTTCACTACAGTATCACATTTCTGTAAGCAGTGCTCTGTAAAAAAAACACTTACATGTATTATGTTGTCATTACAAATGTACTAACATACCAAAGCAGTATGTTATAAAGGCTTAAACTCATTGTACAGGTTTCTTAGGTGTATCCAAATAACTGTATGTGAGAATTAGTGTCCATCTTAGAAACAGGTCAAAAGGTAGTAGAGGAAACAGCCCAATGTTAAAGCCACAGCTTCCGGTTCAGTGAGGTTAGCTCGGGAAGCTTTATTTCCTCACAGATGCAAGGTAGGCGTACCAAAATAAGGCGACCATGTTGGCAAACAGCACTCGGAACTGAAAGCAAAAACAGAGACAGGAAGGGAAGGGGGAAACCATTACAAGTGATTCATCTTTTGTTTGATGACAGGATGCCAATGAATGAAGGGCATACCTCAACAGGCACAAAGTTGATATTGACGAACTGAAAGGGAGTCCACACTTTACAGTTCATTTTCAAGGCAGTCCAGTAACTTCCTCTCATCTTGCTTTCAAAGTCTCTCCATCCTTTTGCCTGGGAAAAAGATGGGATGGTCATTTAATTTATTTTTCATTTGTCTATATGACAACTATATAGCATGTATTTACTACACAATTAACATGAAGACACTGGACCAAATACTGTGGTCAAAATGTAGGTTGAAGCATTGCATGAGTGTTTTAATCATATGTTAAAAGGGGCAGTTTGCCATTTTAAGATATCAGATTAGTAATGGGAAAAGAACTGCGTGCATAGCAATGATCTGTTTTGCATAGCAGAGGTATGTTGTATAGAAAAACAGACAGAAGAATGCAGTTGACAATCAGAATCAAGTATTCACAAATCTGTTCACTAATAAATATAATTTTATCTGAGATAATGATCGGTTTGGCCATGTTTTATCAAATTTAGCAAGAGAAGAACAGGTGGGTTCAATGTCAGTTTTGCATGAGTCTGGAGCACAGGTTTTCAATAAAAGGCGGGTTTGATCCGGATCTAGGAAGGTCATTTCAGGGGCTTTTAAAATCTCTGATTTTTAAAACTGTAAAGACCTTTAATAGGCAGTTCTATTAAACCTGTATAATGCAAACAAATTTGAACAAAAAAACTGTTGTGACTAACTGGGTTATTGAAAATATGCTTTCATGTTGCATGACAGGAAGTGTATCCTCCATTTTTTTTACTTCAACCATACTAAAACCAATTGCTCCCTCTGCTGCTGCAATTGTGTAGTTCCCACAACTTAAATAATAATACAGACTAAAACGTTTTTTTACACCACTTAAAATTCAGGCCTCACACCCTCCCTGTAAAGCTCAGGTGATCAGAGCCTTAAGGCACATGATGATTCACAGATTAGATCATGTGTTGACAGGTCTGTTTAGTTTTTAAAAGGAAAGGGAGAATCCTTTCATCAGATAAAATCTATATAACACGTCAGAGTCTATTTTTAGCCACACACAGTAAACCTAAAACAAACAAAACGAAAAGATAGAAAATATTTTTTATTACCAAAGTTAAACAACACTTGAATAAAAAAAAAACAGGACGCATGACAATCACTGTCACCATGTCTCTTTTTCTTCCTGGGTACAGTGACGTGACCATACCCAAATGGACCAATCCGTGGAGCTCCTCACACACACACACTCTCTCAGCGGCGAAACTGTGACACGCTGGGGGGGGGGTGCTAGTGGAGCCTCGTAGCCGCAAAACTGTTGCGCGCTTACGGCCCCTACACACGGCGTCATGCATTGACGCTTCAACGCTTCTGCCCATTCATGGGGTGGTCACGATTCGCCGAACTGCATTCTGGGAGCAAAGCGTAGCTTTTCTCGCGGTGCTCGCTGCAAAAGTAGAGCAATGTTCTACTTTTGAAGCTGAGGCGGAGGTGTCAGCCAATCAAATCCCGCGTATGCAAATCTGCCAGTACAAGCGCTAGCCAATCAAACCGCGTGTATGCTGAGAGAGCCAGACCGCAGTTCATTTCCTCATATGCCAAAAAATGGAGGAGAAAATAATCGTAGCGGTTGGGAATCACCCGGTGCTTTCAGTCCCTGTTCACCTACCAGGATACAAACCGGAGGAGCCAGGCATGGAGGGAGGTGGCAGAGACAGTGGGTGTAACTGGTAGGTTTTCGCCTGTTTGGGGAGTTTATATCCAGTGTACTTCGTTTGAATGGACAGCAGGCATAGACAGTATATTTAGCCACCATGCAATGTTGCATAAAATAGCACCATAGACATTAATTAAAAATCGCTTTTTAGACATTAATGTCTATGGTGAGATTCATACACGGGAGCCTTTTTAAAGCCTTTTTACCCCGCTGCAAACAGAAACCCCCCCCCCCTTCCCATCACAAACTTTACACAGACCCCCCCTTCCAATTATCAACTCCTGTCTTGTTTCCGCAAACTCTTGTGTCCTGCAGCAGCTACAAGTTTTGCAAGCCCCCGTTCGTTTAGTACCTAAAATAATAGACATCGCTTTTTCCAGCTGACAAACCCGACTTTCTGGTCACTTCTTCAATTTTCCAGCCCTTGGGGAGAGACACGGGAGATTCATGTGATTGGTTGTTGCTCGCATTGCTCGCGTAAACTCCCCAAGCTCAAGACACGCCCACCGCCAAGCGGCAACGCACGCCGCCGTGTGTAGGCTGCGTTACCCCTAGATTCCACCGGGTCCGTCTGCGCCGCGTTGCGGTTTTGGTCCGGCCTCCTCCGGCGTCATACCCTACCAGGCGCGTTTCAGAATAGAGATGGCAAATCCTGATCCTTTTACGGACTCAGGGTCTTCTGAGTCAGTCATTGAAGAGATCCGGATCATACGAGTCATTTGAGTCATATGAGTCAGCATCACCAAGACCGTAGAAATCCTATCGGTGAAACCGAAAAGTTGTTGCATTTCACGAGCATATTATTATTCCATATATTTTGAATATATATATATATATTTGTATATATATATATATATAATATCTGCATGTATATTTTCTATTTCGACATGTATATTTTATATTTTATATTTTATTTTATTTTTCTTTCTATTCTTGTATATTTTGTAGTTTTGTTTTATTGTAAAATGCCTTTTATGCTGCTGTAACAACAACAATTTCCCAATTTGGGATCAATAAAGTACTATCTATCTATCTATCTATTAAACTGACGTTATATTAACCTCCGCGACACTTTTTTGCTTTAATAAAAAATGTTGATCACAAAAAAAAGGGTTATTTTGCGATTTGGCGAATCTGAGTCTGCTGTTGACTCGTGCATGAGGACGAGTCTGCTGGATCTCTGGATCTGCTGCTATATACGGCTCCGAGTCCGCACGAGTCTGCTCTGCTGTGTGTTGCACAGTAAGTCAGGATTTGCGAATCTGAGTCTGCTGTTGACTCGTGCATGACGACGAGTCTGCTGGATCTCTGGATCTGCTGCTATACGGTTACGGCTCCGAGTCCGCACGAGTCTGCTCTGCTGTGTGTTGCACAGCGAGTCAGGATTTGCGAATCTGCGAATCTGCGAATCTGCGAGTCTGCTGTTGACTCGTGCATAATATAGCGCGGGAGCCGGGTGCTGGAGGAGGGGCTTTGCTCGTGCACATGACGAGTATGGATCGCTGGATCTGCTATGCTATTACGGTTAGGAGCCGTCGGCTCCTCTGAGTCCCCACGAGTCTGCAGGAAGTTTCACTGATCCGCGTCCCCTCCCCTGAGCCAAACGATAACTTCTGGCAGGCAGCTATCCTGTATACTTGCTAAAGGGTAGGCAGATGGACTGGGGTATGTTGTAATGTGATTTTACATGTTATAAAGAGAGTAGCGAGTGACGCAATTTATAGTTTTAATTTGTACGTCACACCAAGTGTGGGACTCAAGGACTCGGGTTAATGGAGAGGGGAGACTCGTCACGACCAGCTCATTTCTAGGATCCGGGTTAATGATCCGGATGAATCAGGACTCGCCCATCTCTATTTCAGAAGCATTTCAGAAGCGGAGCGTCTTGCCTGCCGGCTCGCAGTTTTTGTTGATATGGGCATATTTCCTGGACAGGCTACTTTGTACAGACAAAGTTAATAATAACTGTAATATTCCAGTTATAAACGACTTGAATCAAAGATGTGTTGCTGTATTTTAGTGGTAAAAAAATGCATTCATCATCATAATTATTCTATATATATAATTTACACAGTGCCTGTAAACCGGAGGAGAACGCTGGCATTTCTCCTACTACTTGAAAGACTACGGAGGGATAGGGTCTGCAAAATTAGTTTGTGTGCGTGTATATATAGCTCTGAACGTTCCACTTCCTGCCTGCCCGACCTTACATTACGGCTGCGCCGTGACAAAAATAGGATTCGATCCCTGGAGCCCTGCGCCGAGCCGCTTCTGGGACGCTTCTGAGCCGTAACGCGCCGCGTGTGGTGGAATAGCACCCATTGACTAGAGTGGCCGCGATCGCCGTGAGCACCGCGGCGCAGCCGTAACGCGCCCGTAACGCGCCCGTAACGCGCCCGTAACGCGCCGCAGACGGACCCGGTGGAATCTAGGGGTTACACTGTAGGTGCGCCGCGTTTGGGGGTGGGGGTGCGGGTGCTAGTGGAGCCTCGCCGATGGGGGCAAGGGTGTAACTTTGGTTTGAGAAGTGGGGGGGACACACAACAGGGGGTTCTCCGCAATTAAACATTGTTCTCGATTTAATTCCATTTCCTGCCTTTCTACAAATATATATTAGGGACTAAGCAAGATGACGTGACGTGATTCAAGATGGCGCCTGTGTCGGCTCGCCGCTCGCTAAGCTCTCTAACTTTAGCTGTCCTGTTTTTGTTTTATGTTTGTCAGAATGTCTCTGCTCTGCTAGTTTATGATCGCCAAGCTCTCCTCCACCTCAGACCCTCACTGGAGTTGATATTGCTGCCCAAACCGACATCTGGCAACCATAAATCGTCTCCCCCCCCCTCTACTGTCGGATATCCCCACCTACCTGCGCAGGTTGCCCTGCATCCTGCCTCGCCGAAAGCGCTTTCGACGACGGGGAAAGCGTGGTGGTGCACTGGTCCATCTGAAGGCATACCTGACGGCTTCTTCCGTGAATTATCCACGCCTCGGATGTCACGGCCCTCCTGCTGCACGCCAAGTGAGGGATCGGTGGATTCGCCCCGTTTTTCCGGAGCTCCGGACTCTGAGGGGCCCGCTGGCAGCTCCTCCTGCCCGACTGACTGCTCCCAGCCCGCGCGGCGTTCAACATGCACATCTTCGTCAGCTGAGACGCACTACACCTTCGGCTAGCCCGGAGCGAAAACTTTGCATGGCTTTGCTAAATGCTAGGTCGATAGCAAACAAAACGTTCCTGCTAAAGGACTTCTTCACCTCTCGTAAACTGGATTTTATGTTCCTGACGGAGACCTGGGTCCACGCTGGCGAGTATACACCGTTCTCTGAACTTCTTCCTCCTGACTGTACATTCTTCAGCTCCCCCCGTGCCACTGGCCATGGTGGGGGCATAGCATCAGTGTTTAGAGCTAACCTCCAATG